GATGACGTGTATGAACAAATAAATGCTGGTAAGTCGGGCACAGGAAAATGCAGGGAAGTAGATAGAGTTATGTTTTCAACTCATCTGCGTCACTCTCATTGGTCTCTAACGCTAACTTGTCTTATGGGAGATTTCTAAACTTTTCAAAGAATTATTTATTCAATTGAAATTTGCATATTTTTTAAGGTCCTTCACTTCCACGGATGGTACTGGTCGATTTGCCAGGAGTCATTTCAACGGTAACAGTCGATATGGCAAAAGAAACAAAAGATGATATTGTGAAAATGTGCAAAACATACATGGAAAATCCGAACGCCATTATTTTATGTATACAGGGTATGACTTTCCACTTTTCTCTGTTTCAACCGGATCTTTCCAGCGAATTAACTAAGCATAGGGAAGAGGAAAAGGAGGAAGAGGGTGTAAGGGACACGGAAAAAGAAGAATTATGCAAGCTATCGATGTTGCTTTAGAATGCAGCCATACTTCGAGCACAACAGTTTCAGACGGCACGGTACTGGTCCAGCCTACTTTATTATGTATTTTGTGCTGTGCAACAGCTGCACAAAACGTATATTGTCACGGGGTTGTCTGATTGTGTGTATGTGTTTATGTGTGTATGTATGTATGCTTGTGTATCTGTGTGTGTATGTGTATATGTTTGTGTGTATATATGTATGTATGTGTATATGTATGTGTGCGCGTATGTACGTGTGCATGTATGTATGTTTTTGTATGTATGTGTGTATGTTTATGCATGTATGTGTGTATGTATGTACGGATGTGTGTATATATCTATATATTTATATATGTGTGTATGTATGTATGTTTGTGTGTCCCTGTTTAAAATGGCCCTATGATGCAATTCTGTCCACTCTATTTCACCATTTACTATGACAGTGGACCTGTACTTCCGTTGTTATGCGTTTTTGCATTGCATAGCTGCAAAAAACGCATATTGACGAGAGGTTGTCTGTGTGTGTGTGTGTGTCTGTGTGTCTGTGTGTTGTGTGTTCGTCTGTACCGATTTTTCATCTCGAGACCGGTAAAAGCTACGGGGCTGAAACTTGGAGGGTATAATCTACATGCACGTACGAGCCCCCACCCCCAAAATTGGCGCCAAAACCCGCGTGGTACC